ACCGAGTCAATTTCTGCTGCACGTGCGACAGTGCATTTCTATGGCCATTTTCTGGTGCATCAGTGTCGCTGCATACATACACACATGCAAAGGTGTGCATCTTCACCAAAGGAGCGGAAAATAACTGCTCCTTTTGTAGCGGCTTTTCTCGGCAATGATGGCTAGAGGGCGCTTTGCTGGAGATTTTTAGGCATGCGTCATCTAAAGGCCTCACCTACAAGTCACCCTCAAAGCACCCCTTTTTGCCCATCTGCATAGCCCCATTGTTTCTATTTGACGGGGGAGAAAATGAGGCTTTTTGCAAATCCTTTGCAGTAAATTGAGCTAATTCTCTGTCTGCTGTTTTTGTATTATAGCTGCCTTTCATTAAATTCTGCCTATTTTGAAATTCAGCAACTTGAGCAATAGCATCTTGCGACGAAACATCTCCTTTAACTTGCAAAACATTAGTTATTGGACAATAATATTTTGGAAGGCTAGCAAAAACCAGTCCATGTTTTGCATGTTCTGGAAGGGATTCTCCAGGTGCTGTAACTCCAGACAAAGTTGTCATAAAGCCATTAATATGCTAATTTAAAAATTGAGGATGATACAACTTTGTGTTAATGAGTTTGATCATGACAGCTGTTTGATTAGAAGTACTTGAAGAATCAAACAGTTTCTGCAGTTTGTCCCATATCTGTTTTGCATCAGTTAAACCTTGGATATGGTATGAAATGCTGGGCTCTATAGACAAGCAAATATAAGGAGCTTCCTTCTCTACTTTTTTTTTTTTATCAAACTGTTGTTGCTATATTCCTGCTTCTGTGGGTCTCTGCCATTTATTGCAGGGGTAGGCAACCTAAGACCTGGGGGCCGGATGCGGCCCCCCGAGGCCTTTGGACTGGCCCTAGGCCGGTCCTGCCGCCGCCGCTGCTGCCGCTCCCTGCCACTGCCACAATGATGATATTATTGTTGTTATTACTTGTTCTTGGGATTTTCTTGGCAAAATCTCCACAGGGGTTTTGCCATGGCTTTTCTGAGGCTGAGAGAGTGTGCATGCATATTTTTTATTGTTTTTTTAATTTTTAAAAGTTTTTTTATTTTTGTTTGTTTGTTTGTTTGTTTGTTTTTGGTGCTTCGGTCCCCCAATTGTCTGAGGGACAGCAACTCGGCCCCCAGCTCAAAAAGGTTGCCTACCCCTGATTTATTGCTTTAATAGTTCCACTGTAGTCAATTACATTCGCATTTTCCATGACCATGCTTTATAATTTGTTCCAGTTAATATTTCAGTGATCATTATGGGATCAGGATTAGCAGAAGCCATTAGAGTAGTAAAACCTTTCTTGCAGTCAATATCTTCAGGAGAAGCAGTTTAGAACAAAATAAACTGGGACCCATAACCCAAAAGTGTGGAGTAATTTAAGTTTCCCAAGTATCAAAAATAGGAAAGCCAAGCCTGTTAGGGTCTGGCTTTCAAACAGCAGAGTAGCAGAAGAATGATTTTGCCTAACTATGTTCCCTAAAGAACTAAGGGGGGGATAGGTGGCCCTTGGCCAGCCTGAGAAGTGGAGGATTGAGGCTGAGGCTGCCCCACACCTCAGCCCCAATCCACCCTTTTGCCAACCTTGAAAGGAGCTCTAAAATGCTGGTCCTTCCAGAGCTGGCAAAAAAAGCACCCGAAGAGCCACCACATGGCTCTTCTGCGTCCCTTCTGGCGCAGTGCATTAAGATGCTGCGCCGGGAAGATGTCTTGATGGTGCACGACATGCGTAATGGCACGCACCATGATGACGTCCTCGGGAAGGGGTTGGGGAGCCCGGCGTGTGGCTGCCCTTCCCCTTCCCTGCCTCCAAGACAGCACAAAGCACCATCTGTACAGGCCCTAAGACTGACTCAAAAACAACAAACATGTACCTTGTAGTTTAAAACAATGACTTTAATCTATATTTATATAAAAAAGGCTAAATCCTAATCTCACTAGTGATAGTTTAGGTAAAAAGAAAAGATCTCACCATCTTTAAGAAAGTAGAAAGGTGGAACAGCTCAGTTTATAATCCTGAGAGACTGCTATTTCCAAAGAGGGAATGATCCAACAGCCTCGGCAGACGACTAAAAAGTCGTCTTGGAGGCAGGGAAGAGGAGGGGCAGCCGCACGAGAGGCGCCCCTTCCTCCTCCCAAGGTTGCCCTCGGAGCTGCCGGCCCTCTACACGGCTGGCGCTCCGAGGGCAACCTCCCGCCGCAGCGTCCTCACATGCTACGGTGGAAAAGTCAGGGAAAGTGTGCCCTACGCGTTTAGGGCGCACTTTCCCTGACTTCTGAAAGGAGCGCCAATTTGGCGCTCCTTTCAGGGATGCCGCCGGTGCGCCGCCGTGCAAGTGCCTCGCTCCAGCAGCGCACTGTCCCAGGGCGTCCCCGATGCCCTGGTCTGCATCCCCCCCCAAGTCACATGGTTAGTCTGAATGAGAGAGAGAGAGGGTGGGAGGAGTTTGTATATCTTTGCATTCTTTCCCTCCCTCCTTAGATAGGGAAAGAATGTAAAGATCTCCAACAAGAAGCCTCCAGGGGAAGGAAGGAGGGAGGGAGGGACAATGTGACAAGTCCTCCCTCCTTCCTCCCCGTGTGAGGCTTCTGCCCTGGGCTTAGCTTAGGGGGGCAGAGGCTGGAGCCCTGTCAGCCACAGGGAGCTGGCACAGGGAATTGGGTTTCAGAGCCTCCGCCCCCAAGCCCAATCCCTATGCTGGTGCTGACTCCGTGTGGCTGATGGGGCATCCCCAAAGCTAAGCCCACAGCAGAAGCCTCACAGGAAAGGAAGGAAGGAGAGAGGGAAAGAAGGAGGGAGGACTTGTTCCATTGTCTCAAATGGCAGCGCAGCTGCATACATACACTGCCATTGGGGACAGCGCAGGCTTACCTTCTGCAAATAATCGAATCCGCGAATGGCAAGTCTGCAGATACCGAAGGACGACTGTATATGTTGTATAATGAAGCAGTGGACTTCCTGGTTACAATGTCAATGTGAGCTATGATCAAGAACCAGAATTCAGAAGTGAATATACCCCATTTCATAGGGTGAAATGTTCTGTTCATTTGATAGGAAAAATAAATGGTAAAAAGCCAAGAGAATACCTGAAAAGTGACAGATCTGATAACCTTTGTAAAATAATGCAATGGAAAGGAGAGGCTTGGGATTTTTTTGAAAGGGGATCATCAGAAATTCACAGGCCCTTCGTTAGCTCCCCAGTACTGTAGCCATCACACTGATTATGGATCATCAATCCTTTTTCTTCTCAAAATGCCTGGCTGCAAGTACACAGAAAAATCATCCTTCCCAACTCAATGGCTGTGAGATGTGCTGAACTACAACTCCCACTATCCCCAACCAATATGCCTGTCATTCTACATGAGGAGGATGGGAACTGGAGCAGACAGGAAAGTGCAAAGAAAGTACAGGAACTTGAGTCCACATACCTGGATGGGATTTTTCTGAGTGTGTTAAACTGAATATAAGTGTGAACATAAATAGGTGTGAACATAAATACAATCGTCCCTCCGTATCCACAGACTTACCATTCACGGTTTCGATTACTCGCAAATGGCAAGCCCGCAGCTCCTCCCTTCCCTTCCCTTCCCTCTTTCTTACCCCCGGGCTTACCTTTACCATAAGGAACTAGGAGGAGGCCTTCATTAAGTCCTGGGGGATAGTCCTGGCTCCCTGTTTTGGGGTCAGCCAGGCAGCAAGGCCCCATCAACCCCCCCTTGGCCCTCCAGGGTCCGGAGGCACCAGGGTCCAGAGTCTGGTGGCACCAGGTGGGAGTGAGGCAGGGCACAGAGGCTGCTGGGACCTGTAAATGCACCGGCTGCCATTAGAACTCATTTTCCCAGTGGCGGTCACGGCCTGGCGCACATGTCGCCCCCCTCTACTGCAACCAATGGGCCATTGGGGACAATGGGATGTGACTGTATGTAAAATTTGGTATCCATCGTTGGGGGGAGGCGAAATGGATCCCTCATGAATACGAAATGGATCCCTCATGAATACCAAGGAACAACTGTAGTCCTAAAACTGTTGACCTTGATAGGAATTTTCTCCATTACATTCAAGGCTGAGGGTCAATTAAGGCCATAGGCCAGTGGTATACATTTAAGGCTAATGATAGGCAACTTGTAGCCCTCCAGATGCTGTTAGACTACAACATCTGCCATTTATCATCACAGGTTAGCACTAGCTAAGATTGGATACAGGATAGTTTCCTCATTGTTCCCTCCCCACCCCACCCCCATCTGCCAGGTTTCAGATATGAACAATTACTTCCACAAAAGGTTGTTTTAAAGTAACCCTTCCAGTTTTCCCAGTGATGCAAATACTTCCATGAGAGCTTTTTGCAACAATCATTTTTGCTCCAGCTCAGACATTTTTGCCGGTCACTAGCAGGCAAATTTAACTGCCTTTCAGAAAGATTACATTCCATTATCCAGTTGGCAGATGAAATCAGATTAAACCATTTCTCTGAAGGATGGTTTATCCACTCAATGCTAGATTGCTCTTCTCTTCTCTTGTCATTTGTCTCAACAAGCATCTGCTTTTGGGTTCCCTGCTAGAATTTTAAATTTTATTAAGGGAAACCTTTTTGGATTGGTTTATATGTACATTCATATGTATATATTCCTGTATTAGTTAATAAGCATGTTGGGTTTTTTTTGTAATGCACAGTATGTGCAATTTGCTACTTATCAGAAATTCTTTTGCCAAGTTGATATTCTCTATAGGTGTAGGACTACAACTTTTATCACTCCCAGTCAGCATGGTCATCTCAGTTGGCCATGCTGGCAGGAAATAATGTGAATTGGGTAAGGCTGTCTTGTATATGCGTATATGTGTGTGTTTCTGACTTATAGTGACCATAAGGTGAACCTATCACATGGTTTTCTTGGCAAGTTTCTTCAGCGGGGGCTTGCCATTGTCATCTTCTGAGGCTGAGAGAGTATGACTTGCCCAAGGTCACCCAGTGGGTTTTCATGGCAAAGTGGGGATTCAAACCCTGGTCTCCAGACTTCTAGTCCAATGTTCAAACCACTGCACCATGCTGGCTCACTAAGGCTGTCTTTGAGGATAACAAAATTGGAAGCCAGAGTAATGAAGAATTATCTTTATTAACAATGATGAATGAATAATGAAATTATGCATTAATTTATTAGATCCACCACAAGAAAACACTACTATCAAGATCAAGTAATATAACTTCTTGATATACAGAGCTGAGTAAAAAAAAAATGACCAGAGCCTGGGCATTTACAAATACATACCTACCATAGTTACAAAACTATGCAGTGAATTATGGACCAACCTCCCTTGCCCCATCTCCACTTACTGGTGGAGTTACTGGTGGTATTCATGATCCCAATATAGCACCTAGCTTACTGGACATGACCCCCAACCCCAGGAAGTAGCTGCTGTGATAGATGGGAGTCCATTCCCCTGTCGCTCAGGAAGCAGCTGAGTGGCAGTTCCATCCCCACTCACAAAAGCAATCTCCAACAGGAAGGATCCTATTTTTGCCTCTCAGAAAGGAGGTTGCTTACAGGAGCAAGTGGGGACATCAGTTAGTTGTTTCTCAAGAGACAAGGGAACAGATCTCCAGTTGAAGGGAACATGCCCAGTAAGCTAGGTGTTATATAGGGATCAAGAATACCATATAGTTCGAATGTGCATTTCCAGGTTATATGTTCATAACTCCTCAACAGGATTCTAGCTATTATTTTTAAAATGAGAAGAAGTCTACTTCATACTAAACCCTGCCCAAACAGCATCCCTTTTAAGATTAGGAGATTCTGAAGGCTTGGCACGAGAACGGAGAAAAATAACTGAGCAAGTGTCAACTTCCAAGCTATGAACATCTAGACAACAGAACACCTCAAAGTATTTAGAAAATACTTTGGAAAACTCAGCGTGCATGTACTGTAGAAATAGTGTAGTTTGATACCACTTTAACTACATCCTATAGAATCCAGGGATTTGTAGTTTTGTCAGGCACCAGAACTCTTTGGCAGAGAAGGCTAAAGATTTTGTAAAACTACAAATCCCTAGATTCTGTAGGATGGAGCTACAGCACTTAAAGTGGTGTCAAACAGCATTATTACTACAGATAAACCCTCAGAGATAAAAAAAAATGAAGTGGCTAACATAACTTTCAACAAAAGGCTGGCTGGAATAGGCAAGTCAAAAGTCAGAACAGCAGTGCAATCAAAATAGCAATTGCAATAGCACTTTACATTTCTATACTGCTTCATAGTAAACTAAGCACTCTCTAAGCTGTTTACAGTGTGTAAGCCAAAAGAGTTGGATTTCTAGAAAAATCACCACTCAGAAAGTTAGACTCTGACAAGGATTCTTCAATACATGAAAATCAAATGGATCAAATGTTCATGCCTTCTATGCTGAAACATGATTATAGAATGGGCAGCTCCCTCTGAAACCATGGCTATTAGCTATTTCCAAAGGCAGTGGGCAGTGGTATACTGTTATGTTGCAGTTGCCTATGGTCAGACAGCTGTCATATAATCAAACCAATTCTAGAAGCTTCATCTCCATCAGGACCAGGTGTTTTGCCAAATTAGCACCTGCTACAGCTACTGAGAGATAGTGTGGTGTAGTGGTTTGAGCATTGGACTAAGAATCTGAAGACCAGGGTTCAGTTCCTTGCTCAGCCATGGAAACCCACTGAGTGGCCTTAGATAAGCTCCAGAAATCTAATGATAGACTTGCCTTAAGGCCACTATAAATTGGAAATGACTTGAAGGTACACAACAACAGCCACTGTGAGGCTTGCAGCTAAATTGAGAGGGGAAAGTGGATCCTGAGTGGGGTAGGAAAAAATGCCATTAATCCTGCTAATCAAGAAGTCCCAGCTTTCCACATCTGCAACCCTTGGCTGCACTACTCCACTGGGTCTCAATCTCAAAAAATGGGCAAACTTTCCAAGACATCTGCAGAATAAACTTTAGTTCTTTGTTTCTAAAGGAGGCTTTGAGTAAGAAAACCTAAAGGTAAGAGCAATGGAAAGAGCTACAATTATTATTCTTGGCATGAGGTTACTAAATGAATCCAGGCTCACCTGATGTCAGTCACCACTAATCCACCACAAAAGAATAACATCCTAATTGGGAGAGGTACTTTCTACTATGATAAGCTTACCAATTACTATAATTATAAGTTAACCATTAATTTTAAATCCTGGGTAAAACAGAGAAGTATACTGTTTTTCTCATGGGTGGCGTTTCCCACTCCTGGGTTAAGCCTATCACAGACCTCAGAATGTGGAAAGTGGGGGGAGCTAGAAAGAAGGGAGACAAATAGATACACCATTAAATAGTTAATACATGATTTCTGGCCAGCTAAAAGCAAGAGGATGGGAGAACGAATGTGGTACAGTTAAGGGAAAAGTTGGAAATTATTCAATTAGGGTAGCCAGATTGAAAAGTGGTAACAAGCAAAACCTCTGAAATACTCTCTTCTACACAAATGTTACAGGTACAGGAGCCCTCTGCAGTTTTCAATCTGGCATGTGTGAGAAGCAAGACTTGCTGAAATTCCCTCCTCTGCACATTAAAGGTACAGAGGCCCTCTCCAGTTTTCACTCTGGTAAGCCTGGAAACAACTATTAACAGTAAAATAAGGATAGCGAGCTTAATATTGTTGTTGTTGTTAATTGCCTTTGAGTTATCGTTGACCCATGGCTAACCCAGTGGCGTCCCCACACCAGGTGTTACCCAGTGGGGATGGCAAGGCTTCCGGGGGCGATGCACACTTCCTCCTCCCATGCTGCCCCATCCTTTTCTATGGGGGGGAGCGCATGGGAGGGAGCACGAGACAGCGCAGAGGTGGGAGTATGCATGGGAAAAGTGGGACGGTATGAGGGAGCGCATTGGCTGGTGCAGGGGGATGGGAGCACACATGGGGATGGCATGGGAGGTGCGCAGGGGAGGGCCCGACTGGGTGTTGCCCCTCCTTTTGGGGTGTCACATGGTGTGGGCTGTACCACCACAATCCCCCAACGATGCCCTGGGCTACCGTACATATGAGAGACCTCCAAGTCATCCCATTCTCAACCACCTTGCTCAGCTCCTGCATACTCGTGACCGTGGCTTCTCTGATTGAGTCTATCCACCAGGAATCTAAGTATTGCTTATGTTTAAAGAGATGTCTTGATGACAAAACTTTTACTGTTTAGTACTGGGGTAGGCAACCTTTCCCCTTTAAGGGCCGAGGGATTTCAGCTCCCAGAATCCCAGGAGCTATTGGCCAACATGGGACTATTGGCCAACATGGCTGATGCTTCTGGGAGCTGAAGTCCCTCGGCCCTTAAAGGGGAAAGGTTGCCTACCCCTGGTTTAGTATGTAACCATTATTTTGCCAAAGGAATTATTGGGTCCCAGCCACAGATTGCCAGAAAGTTTAAGATACTTGTCTGTTTTAGAAACTCCTTGTTTCACTTAATATAAGCCAAAGTAAGTTCTAAAGAAGGAATAAATTTGGTGAAAGTGTGTTCTGTCACAATGGGTTTCATTTTGCCATCTAATTTAGAACAGAACTATGGTAAACACTTCTTATATCTACACTGAGTACATGTAAGCTTTAAGGGAAACTGTCTTACATCCCAACCCTACGTACATTTATTTTTAAATGAGAGCCATTTACCCAGAGGCAACTGTGATTTTCCCACTGTGTATTTTCTCCACAAGGAACTGTAGTCTTTCACAATTCCTTATTTTTTAAAAAAATCAATTTCTGATTCATTTATTAACGTTATATTTTTAAGTAATTAAGTAGAGAAACTTATAGCTTTAAAAAGTAAGAGAGGTTGCTCAATAAATTCAGTAGTACTTGCAAAGATACACTTCTGTTTTAACATATATTTAACATTGAACCTTTCCTTATTGTTCCAGTGTATGCCAAGAATGCAGTCTTTCAGGAAACAGCATTTTTCTAGTGTATGAGATCAAAAAATTGCATCCTTTGTTCAATCAAGTAAATATAACTATTTCTTTAAAGGAAGGGGCACTCTGCTGTATTATGATTTATTTTGCAGCATACAACAGAGCTAGAAATATAATACAGCAGCCAGTATATGGCTAAAACTATCAAGACCATATTGTTCCACCATAACAAAACATATTAAAATGTTATGTTACAACATACAACCATAATGCTATAACACCTTCAGCAAAAGCACTTTCCCACCTTTTTACATGCTGTATGTTAACCAAGCTAGTCTGTATATAAAATATTAAATAAAATATAAAATAGACTAGATCAGACTTTTTTAGTAATTGCTAGGACAAACATTATTCATGTAGTTCAGGCCTGTACAACATGGCATTAGCTAGGGACCAAAATTAAAATAGGCTAAATTTCTTTGTGCCGCAGATAGGTTTAAATAAATATTAATTAATAATACTAATGAATATTATTAATTAATTAAGATTAATATTAATCAAAATTAATATTAATTAATATTAATATTAATTAATAATTAGAATTTATTCCCTCCTCCTCCTCCTCCTCTTCCTCTACCTGGCCTTCTCCTCAGGAGAAAGCTAATCAGCAGGAGAGCCTTTCCTGTCATTCTCCACCTCTGCTTGGACTTCTCAGGCTCCTCCACTGCCTGGCTTTCTCTTGAGGAGAAAGCCAGGTAGTGGAGGAGGAAGACAGGCAAATGCTTGCCCTGCAAGGCTCCTCCACTGCCCTGTTTTGTCCTGAGAAGGCCAGGTGGCGCTGGTGGTGGAGAACTGCTGAATACCCTCACTGTAAGGCTCTTCCACTGCTAAGGAGAAGGATGGGTGAAGGAGGATGGGCAAACACTCACCCTGTAAGGTTCCTCCTTGGCCAACTTTCTCCTGGGTGGCAAAGGAGCCTTACAGGGCAAGCATTTGCCCATCCTGCTCCTCCACCACCTGGCCTACTCCTCGGAAGTGGAGGAGCCTTGACGGGCAAGCATTTGCCCCTCCTCCTCCTGTTCCCGGCTTTCTCCTTGGGAGAAGACCAAGCAGTGGAAGAGCCTTGTAGGGTGAGTGTTTGCCTGTCCTCCTCTCCCTCCACCATTTGGCCTTCTCCTCAGCAGAAAGCCAGGCGGCATAGGAGCCTTGCAGGGTAGGCATTTGCCCCTCCTCCTCCTCCTCCTCCTCCTCCTCCTCTTCCACATGATCCTCTCCTCAGGAAGAGGCCAAGCAGCAGAGGAGCCTTGAAGTCATTCCACATCCCTGCAGGTCACCCAAAATCCTTTGGCGGGCTGCATGCAGCCCCCGGGCTGTTGTCCAGGCCTGATGTAGTTCCTTCTTTCCACAGAGGATGTCAAGCAGAAATAATGAGCTAAGACTGCCTCCAGACAAGTAGTCATACTTTCCTGTTGTTAGGTCTAAGGGAATTCTGCAGGACACCACTACAAAGGCTACAGTATATATAGTAAACAATGGTTAGCAATAACAATAGCAATAGCATTTACATTTCTATACCGCTTCATACAGAACTCAGTAGTCTCTAAGTGGTTTAGAATGTGTAAGCTAATTGCCCCCAACAAGCTGGGTACTCATTTTAGAGACCTACGGAAAGATGCAAGGTTGAGTCAATGGTTAGCCATTGGCTGCATGTAACAGTTTTACATTTGTGGGTTTTTCGGGTTATGTGGCCATGTTCTAGAAGATTTTAGGCCTCAGGGAGGAAGGATATGCAAGGAGGCATTGTGTCTATTTAATGAGTGATCCATTGTCTGCTGGGAAAACCCTTGACCCTGGGTGGTTTTCATTTGCACATGCTGGGTCTTGATTTTGGTGTTTTTCAGGACTGGCAGCCAAACTTTGTTTACTGTAAGGGTTTCTTCTTTCCTGTTGAAATTGTCCAGTGTTTGTGGATTTCAGTGGCTTCCCTGTCCATTCTGACCCAATAGTTTTTGGCATGATCCAAAATTTCAGTGTTTTCGAATAGCATTTTATGCCCAGGATGGTTTATAAGGTGTTCTGCTACTTCTGATTTTTCTGGTTGACCCAGTCTGCAGTGTCTCTCGTGTTCCTTGATTCGTATTTGAACAATGCATTTGGTGGTCCCTATAGAGACATGTCCACAGCTGCATGGTATGTGGTAAACTCCTGTGTCTGTGAGAGGATCTCTCCTGTCCACTTAGTGCAGCATTTGCTGGATTTTCTTGGTAGGTTTATATATTATTTGGAAGTTGTGTTTCCTCACCACTTTCCCTATTCTGTCTGTGACTCCTTTGATGTATGGTAGAAATACCTTCCCTTTGGGTGGTTGTTTGTCTTCAGTCCTCTGGGTTTTTCTGGGTCTGGCAGCCCTTCTGATGTCTGAGCTGCAGTAACCATTCACCTGTAGAGCCCGGTCTAGGTGCTTCAGTTCATCTTCCAGGAAGTGGGGTTCACAGATCCTTTTTGCCCAGTCTACCAAAGTTTTTATTGTGCTTCTTTTTTGTTTAAAAAATGTAAAAGAAAATTTACATTTTTTCCAGATGACCTCAGCTCGCAGATATTCTCTTGTTTTTTGAATAAAATTTCTACCCTATACCCACTTACTTATGATTGATCCCCACTGAATTTAACAGAACTCACTTCTGTGAAGTCATATATAGCAAGGATGGGCATTATGTGCCCCTCCAAATGTTGATGGGCTGCAATTCCCAGCATGCTTCATAATCATCTATATG